ATCGTCCAAGTGTGAGTGAGCAGGTACACTGTGTGCTGGGTGAAGCACTGGCTGAAGGGCAGAGCTCAGAGGGTTGTAGTTAACGGGGCTACATCTGGCTGGTAGCCAGCCACCATCGGTATTCCTCAGGGCTCTGTTCTCGGCTCAGTTCTGTTCAATTTCTGTATCAATGATCTGGATGCAGGAGCTGAATGCACCGTTAGCAAGTTTGCTGATGATACCAAACTGGGAGGTGCTGTTGACTCTTGAAGGGCAAGAGGCCTTGCAGAGGGATCTGGATAGACTGGAGCGTTGAGCAATCATCAGTGGCATGAAATTTAACAAGAACAAATGCATGTGTCAGTACGGCAAAGCAACATGCAGACGCTTGGTCGATATGAGGAATAAAATAATAATGTAGTGCCCCTTGGAAATGTCAGTGTTTTAAATGAGGGGAACTTCTTAAGACTGACATTTAAGTAACTTACATTTCTGAATGGCAGGAGGATCTTGATTATAGAAAAATGCATTGAATGAATTCCACATAAATATTCTATTATTTATGCCTTAAAAAATGTTTCATAACAGTATAGCCCAAAGTGATTGCTGAATGCAGAGAAAACCCAAATCTAGTATTTTCACTTTTCTATCACTTTTTTGCTGGAATATTTTAATATAATGTAGCTGAAGGCATTTTCAGTTCCCCAAGTATGGTATTGCTTCAGCTTGCCTTTGCATTTTAGGGAAGGATGAAGATTGCCTTGAAATTGTGTGATCAGTAGCACCTGACACAGGTGGTGACAAATATTTTGTTTTGAGCTATGGTAAATGACTGTATGGTGAGGGCCTCCGTCTGCAGTCAATGAATTTTTCCCACTGTCTTTCAATTCATTTTTTGTCATCTAATTTTTCTTCCTTCTCATGCGAACATACGCACCATTATGAGAAAAAAACTACAGTCCTCTCCTTGACACCATCAGCCGGTGTTATTTCTAGATGCGGCGTTGCCAGCTTTGATGTTTCTCTTTCTCCATTTGCACTGTTTTTGAGCTTACTTTGAAGCAACAGATCCAAAACCTGTGAGTTCATTTTCTTACATTGAAGGTTTTGGTGAGGAATATGAACCAAAGGGAGCTCAGCTGGTTATCTGCATCACCGATGATGAAGAGTGGTTGAGGAAAATGAGTGGGGAAGCCATGCAGCTGACAAGCTGCTCGGCTAGGGAATTTTTCCAAGACCCTGGGCAGCCAGTTAGACCAGGCTAACTGATGAAGGGCTGGTAGCACTTTTCCTGCCTCAGGCTTTGGGCCCATACAGTGTAACTTAATTGTTAATTAATTGTGTTCTGCTCACGTTTCTTCTAGAAACAAAATGAAGTATAGAATTCCTTACATGAGCTGCTCCTTGGCCAAAAGGATTGTGTCCTCTGCTCAGAGAGAAAGAGGCTCCTACTAACACTTTGATAGCAACTCCAAAGTATAGATGTGTGGAAAAGAAAGGGGAAAATGTCAAATGATCTGCCATCTCCTTAACAGATTGTGAAGACAACCCTTCTTCTGTCACCACCTTTCCATTGATTTACTTTGTGCATAAAGAAATAATTATAATAAATAACCTATGATAAGCATTTTATCTCAGTGCTATCATTTGCCTAGTGGCATTAGTATTAAACTGCTATATTTATAACGCCCTATGGCAGTTTGAAGGATTAGTCTCTTCCTGAAATGTAACCTGTCCTTAAAACTGTTGTGATTTTTTTTTTTTTTTTTTAGATTTTAAATAGTGGTAGCTTGGCAAACCACTACTGAAATTTAAAAGATACATCTGCAGATTTTGTTTGTGGTTTGAGGTTCCAGAAACATGATCACAGCCCCTGATTTTCTGGCAGACTGCTAACAAAATAATTCTTTTGCTGGTGTCATTCACTTCTTTCTGATGTCATTTGTGGCTTTTGCAGAAGGAAAAGCTGTCTCTAGAGCAGCAAGTCACCTCTGTGTACACACTGATCACAGAGAAAAAGGAAAACACTGCATATGTTTCTGTGTTTAGAAAGGTAAAAAGTCAAGGAAGGCTGACACTAAGGCATTTCTGAACGTGCGAGATTAACTTAGGCAAAAAAAGCAACCTGCAGAATTATTAGCATTTTCAGATGGGGGACTTGGTGTGCCAGTTTGTTTGCATATTTTCGCTACAGCAAATCGATTGCAAAAGTGATGTGATGTAGTATTGCAGCTGACATAATGGCAGACATTTCTGCCTTGGTGAAACTTCTTTCACAGTGTAGTCTAGCTTTCCACTGTAATTATTCAATTTTCAGAATTGCAAGTCTGTGGTTTGCATCAGGCTAGAATTTGTCAAAGCTGTCAAACCAAATATAAACTTTGACCTTTTTTAAAACCGTTACTCTGGTTGTTGGTCATTCTGTTGGGGACAAAGCAGTGACCACATAGTTGGAGATTATTAGTTTATCAGAAGTGTCTCAGCAATGTAAAATATCTGTATTACCATAGGAGATTAGAGAAGTTACATTCCGTGGGCTGAGGACTCTTGCATTTTTTGCGTGGTCACAAGGGAGAAGGTCTTAAAACACTTGAGAGATTTCAAGACTTTCCTGACTTCTTTCATGCTTCAGAAATTCAGCAGTTGGGTCAGACCAGGTATTGATCCTCAAAGCACAGGTTTTGACTGCTGGCAAGGGACCATAAGGACTTCTTCTGAACAGCTGATTGCTTTGTGGGTTTTGGTTCTGGCCAAAGTCGTAACGCAGAGTGATTCCAGGGTACAGTGGCTTGAGATAAAAGGATTGACATGTACAGGTTTACATAATTTTCCGTGTGAGTTTTCAGGCTTCCTTACTCCTGTTATGTCTATAGTTAAGCCTGTCTTAACAGATCGAGGGGCACTGATGCTAATCCCGTGCACGAATGTTTTGCCTAGATGCAGCATGTCATAGCTCGACGCGCAGGATGTCTGGCCTTGTGTTATAAATGTGGATATTTCAGTGCTTGTGCAGATGTAAATACTGCACGCTGCTGACCAGCCCAGCGTTGCACAGTACGCTTTTGCTGTCAGGCAGTGCTGCTCCTGCTGACA